TTCTATTTCCTTATGCTCTATAAGATGGCAGCGTCCATTTCCTTCTATCTCTGTGCGTCGCTCTCACTGACATTAACCAAAAAGTGTCTTAGAATGTCATGTTCTATCAGCTGGCAAGGTCAGATTCTTCATCTCAAGCATTAGGTGTCATTTCCCAAGATACCCAAAGTATTATGTATTGCAACTTGCAATGGTAGTAAAATATATAAATTGTCTCATTATTTTTGGACATTCTATCTATAACAGGCAATTTTACCTATACCGACTACTTATCTCTTTTGATTATTTTGCAAATTATATTCATCATACATCTGAGAGAGGCTTTTGCTGAGAAAATCAAAACTGTTTTGCAGCTCTGGTGATCTTTACTTCAAACCTTGTCAATTCCCTCATAGTCTGCATATCCCTCCCTCTCTACACCATAAATCACATCAAGAAATGACGATAAAACTTGTCAACATCTACATCATAATGCCTGTTCCTCCATACTCGAGAAAAATGCAATAACGATCATATAAAAATGATGAACACCCATGTCCGGCATTTCTCGACATGCAATTATGGCAACTTGATACCGGCATCAAGAATTAATAAGCTGTTTGAAATGTCTATCAAATCTTTTCAATGAAATCAGGTCAAGTGATAATCATCGAGAAGGAATCAAACGTGTTTTTCACATTGACAGCTGGACATCAAACTACACGTACATTGAGAAACAAGTGTATAAATATATATCTAAAAAAAAAAAAATCCCTTACCTGGATGAGAGCAGCCGATGCACACGTGGATCCATAATACGAGGGCGCCAGATCTTTACTCGAAAACCGGTTCAGTGGCTCCATTGTGTACATGCACCCCGGCAATTCCACGGCCCGGGGCATTTTCACCTGTTTTGGCAATTCATACATAGGCGTTGCGACTGACATTGTGCAGAGATTTAAGAGATTTCGGCAACGAGTCCCCTTCTCCTTTGAGCACTCACACAGCACTGCCGGGGGAATGGGTGTCTCTCCTGTTATATTTGTGTATAAGGCTTTAGGGGGAGATGCGTAGGATCGGATTCTCTTTCGGGCGCGATAGGGTGTCGGAATCCCGTATGCAGGGACTGAATTGGTTCCGGTAAATGTAATTACTGTGCGTGTAATAAAATTTTTTTATTGTCTTTGGTGGTTTTTGAGAAACGCGTTAACTTGAACATCTTGAACGTGAGAAATGCATTCTAATCTCTTAGATTTAATTAAACTTGACCTTTTCAGACCACATGCTTCGCTGCCACATCGTCTCGTATCGATCTATCATTTCGCACATTACACCCTTCTTATTTCCCAAGTAGCCCTCTCCGTGTCATTGGGAAGCTGCGTAAATCGAGTCCCCTCTTCCTCCCTCGAATTACTTTGGCGAAATAAATGGGTAATGTCACAACACAACCCGTGGCCTAGACGACTTGCAACGCGCTCTCTGATTGGTCGACGGCGTGAATGGCGTCTGCCGCTTTTCTCTCCTCAAAGTCGTCGCGAGGAGGTTATCCGTCACCACAACGCGTTGATACCGTCAGCAGTGCCGTTGTCCACGCATCCCTTGGGGGAAATGTGACTCAGGATTCCCCGTTGGATCAGGTCGACAAAACGTATGAAGTTGGTGCTGGTGATGGCGGGCGAAGGGGCGGGCCAATGAGCGCGGGCGAGACAGAGCGCTGCGAGCGAGGCCATGGCAGGCGGCTGCGACCCTATTTCCCGCTGAACAAGTCTTTTCTCGAGCAGCCAGGACCTTTTGCGCCGCTCCCCCTCCCCTGAGTGTTCGTGAGTGCAGGCCAGCGGGCGACATGCGCGGGTGAGGGCGCGGGGGCGCAGGAGAGACACCATACGGCCAGAGATGAGCTGGGTCACGTGACCTTGCGCTGAAAATGGCGGCGGTGGCGTTCGGGGTTTGAAGGCGACGCGAGACATGTCAGGCGCGCTGGGGTGTTTGTGTTCGCGCTGATCGGGACCAGCGCCCTCGCCACAGGTGCTCTCAGCCTCCGGGCCGGCGAAATGTCCGAGAGGAAGAGGAAGAGAGGGCGGCCCCGCTCGACTCCGATGCTCAGTTATGGGGCAGAGATGAGGATGAGAAATAGCGTAACGAGAATAATTAAGAAGCCGAGATACCTCTTAGATCAGGAGGAGGACAGCAACCCCTCGAGGTCGTGCTCGCCCTCAAGGTTTCCCGAGGGCGGGGAATTCCGCGGCGTCGGCGGCGCCCACGGCAAGAACAAGCGGGGATACAACCCTGACGTCGACGACAAGGACTCGGAGTACCTGTATGGCTCTGACTTCGAGGTGGAGGAGATCTCAGAAAAGGAGGAGTTCAGTGACTCCAGGAGCGTGAGTGACGATGACATAGACATAGGGGAGCTGGATGAGGACGAGGGACTGTCAGATGGGGAGGCGTCCATCTCCAGCTTCAGCACCAATGGGGGGACGCCCTCCAAGGTGCCCAGCTCACGTCCTCAGACGCCCATCCCCGTATGGCTGCAGGACCGTGATTATCCTCCCCTGGACCTGCCCGAGTCCTCCGACGACCTGCTCCTGCCCCAAGCCTACGTCCTGCGGGCCGTGAGCATCTACGAGGTGTTGCGGCATTTCCGCACGCTGGTGCGGCTCTCGCCCGTGCGGTTTGAGGATTTCTGTGCGGCTCTCATGGCAGAGGAACAAAGCTCCCTGCTGGCCGAGGTGCACATGATGCTGCTGAAGGCCCTCATCCGGGAGGAGGACTCGCAGCAGACTCAGTTCGGTCCCCTCGACCAGAAGGACTCCATCAACGTCATCCTCTACTTCATTGACGCGCTGACCTGGCCAGAGACGCTCCGGCTGTACCTGCAGAGTGACTACGAGTTCAGAGACACTCTCTCCATTCTGGACAGTTGCGACTACCCCTACACATCCCTCGAGAACAGGTTTGTCTGGCCGTGACTGTTGTTCCTAGTGTCAGGGTCTGAGGAGGTTTATGGGTGTTGGGTTTGCTCTTGCCAGCCCATTTGTAGGACGCGGGAAAGCATTGTGGAATTGTTGCTAGGATTGTTCACCAAACATAGGAAAGATAACTTACCCATTAACATATTAGTTTTTTAAAGTAGGTTCTCTATGGTGCTCTTTTATTCTGTGCTGGAAAAAGGCTTTAATAAATCTCCCTTAAAAGTATCCATTTACCTAATATGCCTTGTTATATTTGAAAATTTAAGTTTTCCTACTGAAGTCGCATGACACAGGTATCCATAAGTTTCTGTGGATATTCCTCTTGTATTGTCAAGTGCAGAACCAAACCAAGCTGTCTTACCATAGTACAAGAGGCTAGAAGCCATACTCTGATACTAGAGCTGTCGTTTATTTTACATATAAAAATAGATGATTAAGTAAATATCAAGAATATTGGCAATAATACCTAAAACAGATATTCTTTGTATATGGCAATTGGATCTTGACAGTATGTGAAAATGGTAGATTGATGAAATCTGAGACATTTAATGTCAGTGACATTTCTGATAGTAATTGAAAATAAAGAGGTTATTCAATACAGAAACAGAATAATGGTAGCATCTCCTTCAGCCATCATCCTTCACTGATTATGTCTTAGTTTACACATACTTCATGAAAATGAGCCATCTGCTCAAATAAAAGCAATTCTGTACATTCAGAACACCCACATATGATAAGTAATTGAAAACTACTCGTAAATCAACAGGCTAATCATCAGAAAATTCCATACTGTGTAAATATCAGGGGCTTTTTGAAGGTCAGCTTATCCATGTGTTGTATTTTCAAAGATGTGTGGTCATTTTTTATTATTTTTTTGTGGCATATTAATTGAAATACCCAGCTAGTTAAAAAAAAAGAAAAGAAAAAAATGTCCTATGGTATTAGTGGTGGAATTTTATCCTTTTGATCTCATCACCAATAGATATGCAAGACAAGCAAGTAGATTGTAATAGTAATGCATCTATTTCCAAGTCCGTATATAATTTGTGTTGTTTGGGCCACCCCAAGAATCTCAGGTTCTCTCAGGTTTCACAAACCTGGAAGCAGTAGGGAGGTTGCTAGGTCACAAAATTAAGGTTTATGCTGAAATTGATCATCATTTTCATTCAAAGCACATCACTATATACAAAAATCTATGAATTTTATAAGTCCTAGTTCTCATACCTGAAAAGAATATCCTTTTTTCTTTTAGGAATACTGGATTTGTCTTAACAAAACCCACCTGAAACTTGTTATTGTCAGTCAGTTTGTCAGTTAGGATGCCAACAATCAAGAGGCTAACATATATGTGTAGTGCCAACTGATCCCCATAACACATTGTGCTCTGGCAAAGGACAACAGACCTTTACATATATGACAAAATATTTATATGCTTATTTACAGTTACATAAATTTGATTATGAAATGTCTCTATTGTTCATATATTTGCAAACATTAATACAAACCATTTGTACCAGTTTGCAGACTGAGGAAGTAGGAATGTTTTTATTTGATAGAGAAATGTGTAATTTTGTTTCCTATTTTATATTTCCTTGGTAAAAGGAATGTTTAACCCTTTTAGATTTATACGAAGTTCATTATAATTGAATTAGGTTTGGTGTAGAATTATTTGCTGTGGATGTGTAGTTAATTATTTGTTAAATAGAACAATAAAAGCACCCACATGCAACACAGTGTAATAACCAAATCCATCTGTAGCTTCATTTTCATGTAGCTTTTTAGTTTTGAAGAGGACAATGTAGGACCTAGGACCTATATTCTTTATTTAGCTTCTTTAAAAAAAGGGGTATTTTATACATGCAGAAATGTCTTCGTGAAATATGTTTGTGTTAGGTCATTCTAGATCAGTTTGAAGCATAAAGTTAGTATTGGATAGTTATTGTTACTGCCAAAATTGCATTTTAAATAAAACATATATGTGTGTGTGTGTGTGTGTGTGTGTGTGTGTGTGTGTGTGTGTGTGTGTGTGTGTGTGTGTGTGTGTGTGTGTGTGTGTGTGTGTGTGTGTGTGTGTGTGTGTGTGTGTGTGTGTGTGTGTGTGTGTGTGTGTGTGTGTGTGTGTGTGTGTGTGTGTGTGTGTGTGTGTGTGTGTGTGTGTGTGTGTGTGTGTGTGTGTGTGTGTGTGTGTGTGTGTGTGTGTGTGTGTGTGTGTGTGTGTGTGTGTGTGTGTGTGTGTGTGTGTGTGTGTGTGTGTGTGTGTGTGTGTGTGTGTGTGTGTGTGTGTGTGTGTGTGTGTGTGTGTGTGTGTGTGTGTGTGTGTGTGTGTGTGTGTGTGTGTGTGTGTGTGTGTGTGTGTGTGTGTGTGTGTGTGTGTGTGTGTGTGTGTGTGTGTGTGTGTGTGTGTGTGTGTGTGTGTGTGTGTGTGTGTGTGTGTGTGTGTGTGTGTGTGTGTGTGTGTGTCAAGCAAGTAGATTGTAATAGTAATGCATCTGTTTCCAAGTCCATATATAATTTGTGTTGTTTGGGCCACCCCAAGAATCTCAGGTTCTCTCAGGTTTCACAAACCTGGAAGGAGTAGGGAGGTTGCTAGGTCACAAAATTAAGGTTTATGCTGAAGTTGATCATCCTTTTCATTCAAAACACATCACTATATACAAAAATCTATGAATTTTATAAGTCCTAGTTCTCATACCTGAAAAGAATATCCTTTTTTCTTTTAGGAATACTGGATTTGTCTTAACAAAACCTACCTGAAACTTGTTATTGTCAGTCAGTTTGTCAGTTAGGATGCCAACAATCAAGAGGCTAACATATATGTGTAGTGCCAACTGATCCCCATAACACATTGTGCTCTGGCAAAGGACAACAGACCTTTACATATATGACAAAATATTTATATGCTTATTTACAGTTACATAAATTTGATTATGAAATGTCTCTATTGTTCATATATTTGCAAACATTAATACAAACCATTTATACCAGTTTGCAGACTGAGGAAGTAGGAATGTTTTTATTTGATAGAAAAATGTGTAATTTTGTTTCCTATTTTATATTTCCTTGGTAAAAGGAATGTTTAACCCTTTTAGATTTATACAAAGTTCATTATAATTGAATTAGGTTTGGTGTAGAATTATTTGCTGTGGATGTGTAGTTAATTATTTGTTAAATAGAACAATAAAAGCACCCACATGCAACACAGTGTAATAACCAAATCCATCTATAACTTCATTTTCATGTAGCTTTTTAGTTTGGAAGAGGACAATGTAGGACCTAGGACATATATTCTTTATTTAGCTTCTTTAAAAAAAAGGGGTGTTTTATACATGCAGAAATGTCTTCGTGAAATATGTTTGTGTTAGGTCATTCTAAATCAGTTTGAAGCATAAAGTTAGTATTGGATAGTTATTGTTACTGCCAAAATTGCATTTTAAATAACACACATATATGTGTGTGTGTGTGTGTGTATGTCTTTGTGTTGTACATAATTGATATATTGTAATACCTTTTGGTATATTTACTTTTTTAATATTAGCCTTGGAACTTTTTGTATATTTTTATAATTTTCAGCCTTCAACCAATTCCAAAAAAACTAAGTCTTTTATCAGTTTCTAAGAGGAGATATCTTATTCCACTGCACCTGTCTCATCTGTAGATGTATTTCATTGGAAAATAATTCCATACTAAAAATATTTTGGCTTCAGTAAAGGCTGGCAAATATTAGCCACATATTCTGGCAAGGAGAGCTTGGACTGGTTCCTTATATGACAGTAAACCACCAGAGTGCTGTAGATACTTTTTTTTTTGGGGGGGGAGGGGATGTTGCCATATAAGCCAATAATGGATACAAGGGTATCTTCAAAACATTTACTAAGAGTACATCAACTTGACAGATACAGGATAAATTTCAATATGTTAGACAGAAATTCTAAATGATGAAGAAAATATTGAAACTGATTAACCCAACCACCCTGAATTTATGTTCTGTGAATTTTGTTACATACATATGGCTCCATATGTGCTCAGCCAGCCAGGAGTCTATTAGTAGGCCCTAGTGACCGAACCTGATTTCCCCAATCCATGCGGGAATTAGCGGGAAAATGCGTTTGTCTTGTTAATACAGTTGATATTGATACTGTTATTATTGTTATTAATGTTATTATTAATAAATTGTTATTAACCCATTTGCCCCATGTGGCAAGAATAGATGCCGTGCCCACTGTAATGCACGTTTATGTATTGTACATAGATGGCTCTACAAGTTCTTAATCACCAAATAGCCAGTTTGTCGGAACTACCTATCTCACCTGTTTACCCTTTTCCTTCACTTCAGTTTTTTTTTTGGTATCATTTCATTGTCTAAAATATTGTAATGACAATTTAATAATCATAACATCAATAACAATATTAACAGTATCGATAGCAATGGTATTAATTTTCCCGCCAATTCAATGAATGGGAAAATCAGGATCGGTAACTTGGGCATACTGATAGACTCCTTGCCGGCTGAGCACATGTGGAGCTATCTGTATGTAACAAAATTCACCAAAAACTACAGAACATAAATCCGGGGCGAATGGGTTAAGATGTCAATAACATTTTAGACAATGAAAGTATGCAAATGATCCTTTGATATATTGTATGTATGTATATGTATATGTATACGTATGTGGATTTGTGTGTGTGTGTCTTACATATTACTTATTACTGATTTTAACAGTATCATACACCTGTGATTCCTTAATGTTCATTGCTGAGATTTTTTAATTAACTTACATGATTAGCAAGCTTTCATTGAGTTGTATATGGGATTTATATTTTTAGAGAGGAGATAAGTATTGCAAGTTGTGTAGTTTTGGCTGATTTGGTTTCTCTTTCACTTCAAGTCATTGATTTTCATAATCTGATGTGCATAAAGAGAGAGTTGAAGGAAGTATCAAAAGCAATGGTCACACCAGTCTTGTTTGTCTACAGATCCCCAGACAGCCATGTCTGGTGTCTGTCAGGACAGGGCGGGATTGGTCACACTATACCCACACACACACACAGAATAACATTTCTGAAAACACCATAGTGTCTACAGTTATGAATTCTATGCGCATATTGTTGCTCATTTGAAATTTTCTAGAAAGAAGACAACTTAGGAAAGCTATTTCACCCATTTTATTGATTATCATTGTTATATCATACAACTGCGACAGCGACTCCAATCCGCATATTTCAAAAGAAATAGAAAGTCCAAGAATAAACTTAAAAATGGCATGTACTGCTGTTAGTGTTATCAATGATGTTGGAGAGATGTAATTATGGATTGATGAAAACTAAAGCTAGGATTAAGCAATTACTATAAATAAGATTGAGAAATATAATTAATCGTGGATCGTAACACAGCCTTTGCCTACTATACGATTATATCCTGTGCAGAGCAAATTTCCTTGTTGATTGCATCCATTATTGTTATTTTTATGATATCATGTTACTTGTTCTCCAGCTCTCACTTTGTCCATCAGGGTGTAAATAATTTCCAAAATGAGTTCCGTGTCTCCGGTGTGTCGGAGTGAGTGGATGTTTGTATTTGTCAATCAAATCAGTTTTAGTGAGGCATCATCATTAGTTCTAATATATATTTCTATGGTGTTGTTATACCTAATGTGATACAATAATCAACATTCTAATGAACAAGTAATGAGCTTCTTTGTAATCATACTATGGTTTTTGTTTTGGCATCTGTACCCCTGGTACCTAGAGCAAAAGACCAACACAATGATTCCCGATTGGCGTTGTTCTAGGGGAAGCATCCTGCTCTGTAAAGGGATCCCTGGACAGACAAGACTAGTGTGACTGCCTCATAGATAATCTAATCATAGTTAGCCAGGCATATGATACCTCAAACAAAGTAATTTTTGTAAACAAGTTTAGGGATGGAAGTCTCAGTACCGGTGGAAATTTATAAATGTCTGTTTCATGTTGAGTGAGGGATTTAGGGAGGAATTGAATCATAAAATCATAATGTATTTCTTAAGGCATATACTTCCATCTTCCCCCCTGCCCTAATCTTATATGTATGTATTCATCCCAGAAAATCTGAGGCCTAAAATTTTAGTTTTAGTAATTATATATATATAATATTTAAGTGTATGTACTTATAAATAAGGAGAAGAGAAAGAAACACTGGCCTGACTAGTGTGGGTAATAGCATTTCTGTAGACATGTAGCTACTAATTCTTTTGATTGGTTTCTGATAGACAAACAGCCCATCCAGCCTTTACAGTTTGTAAGAACTTGAACAAATCTATGGTGCATGTTAACCATATGTATTTTTTGTTCACAATATATAAACCAGTGTTTATCTTCAGATTGCAAGTGCTTCAGTTCCTGTGTGACCAGTTCCTACAGACTTCAGTAGTTCGGGAAGATCTACTAAGTGAAGGCAAGCTTCGATATGATGATCACTGCCGTGCCTGTCATAAGACTGGAGATCTCCTCTGTTGTGACTCGTGTTCTGCTGTTTACCACTTAGACTGTGTGGATCCGCCACTCCAGGATATTCCAGGAGAAATGGAGGATTGGACCTGTAGTGTTTGCACAGCTCATCAGGTGGGTAGAGAGAGGATCCTTTAATGATAGGTTGTCAACAATATTCATTATTGGTTTTAGATCCACATGTTTTCTGGAAGAAGGTTCATAGATGAAAATATAAAAATGATTTAATTTCTTAAATATGAATTTTAGAATCAAATTACCAAATATTTGGCTATGTTCATGCTATTCTTACTGGAACTTTACCTACAGGTTGAAGGGGTAACTGACTGCATTTCTCCAATGGAAACCTCAGGGATACTATGCAGGCAGGACCCTTTAGGATTTGATCGACATGGCCGAAAATATTGGTTTTTGGTCAGAAGATTATTCATGTAAGTTTGATTTTGAAAATATTTGTGTAATGGCATGTCATTTAAGAATGGAGTGAGAAAATCATCCATATATAGATTGTGTTATTACTTTTATGTGTAAACAACATTATATTTACCCATTGTAGAGAAACCGAGGATGGCGAATTGTGGTACTATTCGACACGAGCACAATTTGAGGAGGTCTATAGTCTGCTAGACAGTGCAGATTTGGAGGAGGAGCTATGTAGTGCCCTTCTGGATGTGATGTCAGAGATAAAAAGACACATGTCATTGACAGAGAGCATCACAGAAGAGAACAAAGGGAACCGGAAATCTCGCCTTGAAGTGGAAGATGGTAGGGATTGTTAAGTTTTATGCTTACCTTTCAGTAATAATTATTATATAAGAAATAGTACAGCTTATTTAGAATATTCAAGGAACATTAGGAAAAGTTTACATTGAGTAATTTTATTTTCAGCTGATGTAGCAAAAAGAGTTGCTGAGAGAAGAGAACAAAAGGTGAAAAAGGAACAAGAAGGATTAGATAAGTTAATTGAAGAGGTAAATTATAATTTTGTGTTCATATTTACATCTTGGTCTGTGATACCTTATTTCAAACATTGTATCCATGATATCTCTATCTAATTTGCAGTTGAACTTGTGCTCTTATCTTCTTCTATCTTTTTCTTCAACAGATCAAGGAGGAAGACATCAAGACAGAAATAAAGGAGGAGCCCGAAGAGTGCAACATGAAGACTGAGGAAGGCCACGTCTCAAGCCTTGATCCATTCACAGGCGAGATTCATGAGAAGTCCTCCAAATCCTCTAATGTCTCCAGTGGCCACATCAAAGAGGAAGTAGAGGTCAAGGAGGAGCATGAGGATGAGGAGAAGAGCAGTGAGAGTGGCATCAAGACTAGAACCAAGACCGGGACGATCACCCCCAAGCAATTTGCGGTTGATGATTTGCGGCGTCGCCTGCCCGTGGAGGATAAGGACAAGGACAGCAGCAAGAAGGCTTCGGATGATGCAGCAGTGCACAAGCTCACACAGAGTAAGCTGGCTCAGCTTCAGAGCAATGGTGGGTTCTTCAGAGTGTCTACATAGACGATAGAAATGGAGGGAGATTTGTAAGAGGAATTATAGATCATATATGAGAGACAGTTTACTACTATCTCTTATATTTATGAAAATCTTCAGATGTAATTGGAAAAATAAGGTTTACACTTTGAAGCTCTTCCCCCCTACAAGTTTTGCAAACGTATTGATCGTAATTGTATATATGAAATGAGAGTAACTGGAAATTTTGTCATATTGATAGTGGTTAATTGTTTTAGTAATTGGTGATATTAATGGCATATACTTTTTTCTGTAGATCATTTGTACCGACTGGGATGTGATGGAAAGTATAAGAACTATGTCAATCAGTATTCCACAAATTCCCTTGCTCTCAACAAGTTGCAGCATAATGAGGAAAGGGATAAACGAAGACATTTGTCACACAAATTCAGCCTAACCTCAAATGCAGACTTCAAGTGGAATGGAGTGCTTTATGGTAAGATATCAGTTTGAATTAAAAACCTTCAGATGCATCCTCATTGCAACCTTTGCATTTTTATATAATATTTGCAATAAGACTTCTATGAGCAACAGCCTGATGTCCACTTTCAATCCACAGGTAACAAGGAATCCCTTGTATCAACTCTTCGTCACAGTGTGTTGGCCTTAGAACAGAATATATCTGTTCACCTATTCCATCCCCACTGGCCTAACATCCGTAAGGCCTGGAATGTAGAAGTGATGGCTTCGACTGAGCCACGGCATTTCTCCAGGGTCCTCATGTGGCTGGTGGCCTGTATTAAGCCGGTGGTCTTTAATCCTGTGTGGCATGAATCCCTTGGGCATGTCAGGTGAGGCTTTTATGGGAATGGTATTTCAGTGAATATTATTGGTATTATCAAAGTAAGGAATGTAAAATTTATTCATTTTCATCTTTTTTGTTATGTGTATTAGAGTAGGCATGAGTACATTTATTGCAAGATAGGTTACCAGCAAATGTGGTGATAGATGTATATGAAACATTTATAATCCTGTTTATTAAGTTTTTATTTTATTTATTTATTTTCATATATACTCTAGTACCAAGTTGATTCTGAATTCATTAGCATGTGAATGTTTTCATGTATATATTGAAGAAGAAAGGGATTTTTTTCAGTGATTGTAAAGAAATTGATAGGGATCAGTAGAGAAGCATAATAGGCATAGCTATTGATAGTGCATTAATCCATCAGTGACAGTATTAGAAATTTATTGGCATCATAGACTCCAGTGTCTTTTAGCAACTGTCCTACAGTAACATGTTAAGAACACTTAAAATATCTATATTGTTATCCTGCTAGGTTTAACCGAGTGACAGCACTAGAGAGAGAAGAAAAAAAGAAGCAGGAGAAGAGAGAGAAGAAAGATAATGATCAAGAGGAAGTGAGACCTGTGACTATCATTAAGTACACTCTTGGGCTGAAGCATCAGGTAAGGAGAAGCATTGACTGATATTGAAGGCCACCTTAATCCATTATAATGGCAAGAAAAATATGCCATGACTGTAGCTTAATGAATTAATTTTTCACCAAGGAGTCACTCACTGTACCCATCTATTTCACCTGTTTACCCCTTTCCTTTTTTCATGACATGATGGTCACATCATCCAGATTGTATGGGTTAAATGTTTCCCTTCACTTTAAGGGCCTAAATGTAAAGGGGATATCAAACAAATGATGTCACTAATTTTGGAAAAAGACAAGGTCTGTCCATTGAGTGGATGGTGTGGAGTAGGTCATTATGTTGTGCCATCTGTGACTCTGTTTGACACATCCATTGCATGATTTCATGTTATCTTTTGTCAAAAAGATCCCAAAAATTTGGGGAATAGAGAAATTAGGTAGAGTCACTTAGGGCTTACTAATTGACTCCTTGGTGGCTGAGTATTTGTGCAGCTATTTATGTGCAACAAAATTCTCAAAACAATTTTCTGTGGATATAACATGTACCAATCACTTGTAGATTAAAGGCAGCAATATATGTCTTCACTTTTGAGAGTCAATGGTGAAAACCCTCATATTAATGGATTGACTTTTATTAATTGCACATGTAATGATCAACAGGTATGGAAGTTAAAAGGTGAGGAATACAGAGTGCATGGTATGTGGGGTTGGCAGTGGTTGTCATCACACAGGCGAGCCCCACACACACCCATGTCTACTGTTGGTCTTCGTGCTGGTGGAGAAAAATACATGGTGCCCATCAAAAGCCCAACTGGACTACGCAGTCTTTCAATCAACTATGCTGTTTATAAGCAACTGGCGTCTAAAGCGCCATCCTTAAAGCCTTGCCTCCTTTCTCCTAAACAAAGGTCTCAAGAGATGGAGGTTGAATCTTCTTCAGAGGAGAAGAAAAACGAAATCATAATAGCTAGTACAAGTAAGAGCAACTCTCTCTCTCTCTCTCTCTCTCTCTCTCTCTCTCTCTCTCTCTCTCTCTCTCTCTCTCTCTCTCTCTCTCTCTCTCTCTCTCTTTTTCATTTCTCCTTTTTTCTTTTCTGAAAAAGAGTTCATAATTTATTTACCAAAATTTTATTCTGATAATGATTACATTATTCCTTTATGAATTAATAATTTTGTTGTTAAGTTCTTATCTTATTTTTTGTTTTACCCAACAGCTGGTCAACAGAAAGTTGTAGTTGGCACAGTAAAACTTGAGGATTACTTTGAGGATGGTTTGGTCAATGTGTCTGAAGCCCTCACCTCACGTTCACGCTTCCTTTACCCCAAAGTTGCCAAAACCTCTGTTCTTGACAGTTTGTTAAGTAGACGGATTGCTCTCCGTTCACAAGAAGAGAAAGATCTTGCAACCAAGGTAAGTTTTTCTTGGTATTGATAATGAAGACTTTACATATTGTATTATTATCTTTGTTGTAGGATGCAGACAGGAATTCAGTTATGAGGAATATGGAATGTGTAAAAGGTTTTTGCAAAGTGAAAATAGTTCACATAATCATATTAATGCTGGTTTTGCACATATTGTTGATGGCTTGTAAATATGACTTAATTAAAGAGAAAGAAAGAGAAAATAGGGTCATTCAGCATGGGACCTGAATGTATTTCTTGCTGCTGCTGTAATGTTATTACCAGCAACCATTATTACAGTAGTGTCATATTTAACCCCTTGATGACGGGTGAAGAAAATAAAAAATAATAAAAACACTACGCTCTGGAGATCAATGGCAACATGCTGATTTCGAGCGTGGGAGTTTGGTACACCAAACCGAATCACCAGCTTGTAGTGCTTTGGTGCTCCTCTGCGGCGTACAGCCAAATACCACAGATCGAGAGAATTTATGTGCTGACATGATTTTTCCTGTTATTTGCATGCTGGGCAATCGGATCTAATTAATATATGAAGAAGAGTATATGGAGTATATTTAAATTGTAACAAGTAGTGGTATACCAACATTTCTTACAGTTGATCTGGAAAGATTTATAAACTGCTGCTTGAATTTCTTGTGATTGCTGGAATAGTTTACTGAATTGCAACAGGTGATATTGAATGTTATTTATTTATTCTGTAATTTATTTATGTCGTTTGATATATTAGATGTGCATCTTGCACGAACCTATGGTACATTAGAGATACAGAAGTGCAAAATTAAGGGGTTAATGGATTATTACTGAGTATTTTTGTGTAATCTCTGTTGGTCTGACAAAAGTAATGATGCAACAGTTCTGGAGAGGAGGATACTAAAAAAAAGTGTTTTGCCTGTATTTTGTTATGTTCAGGAGAACTTGTGGTAAGTATTTTGGTTAGTGTATACTCTTTGAACTAATTATTTTTTATGGGTTCTAACAGTATGTATGGCTGATTGATTAAAAAGCGATAACTACATTACTAAGTCAGTAGCTATGTATTTTCACATCAACTGAGATTGAAAGTTTTTAGAATGTGTATTTTATTCAATGTTATATTAATGCCATATTTTTTCTCTCCCTAGAAATCTCAGTGTGGAGAAACAAAGAAAGATGAGGAGGAAGATGAAATAGATGTTGAGAATGATGACTCGGATGCAACGCTCAGTGACAACTCAGACCATGAGAACATTGATGAGATCCCAGACTCCCAGCGATCTACCATACACAAACAGAGACCTGCTGGAAACTTACTTAAGGAAGTTCGAACTTTAAAAGCCAAATATGAGACTCTAGATGAGCTTGATGGCAATTATTCTTGTTACTCAGTGATATGTAGAAGTAGTAGAAGGTGCCATTGTTACTCTCCTTTGTGCCTGTTAAAGAATAGGACTAAAGACAGATTAATTAATAGTGTAAAAAATTATAGAATAGTTACCAGTAAACCAGCTCCTTTTGATGAAGTAGGAGCCCATAGCCCAGTCAGATTGACAGATTCTAATGCAAACTCTGTTACAAAGAAAGAGACTGTTAGTGAATCTGTGACCCCACCTACCAGTACTGTAGGAACTACTGTGAATGGGCAAGTGAATAGTGCTACATCAAACTCAGTTGAGGTGATGCAATCAAAATTAGAGTGCAGTGATTCGAGTGATGGAAGATCCTCCAGAGCCAGTAGTGAGATTAAGATAAGAGTGGATGAGGATTTAGATGAAACAAGCCAAGGTTCTGTTAATATGGAACACAAGTTTTCCCTGAAAAATGACAGAATTTATAGCAATGAGTGTCCTTCTGGCAAGGTGTACCTGAAGAAACTACCTAGTGAGAGCAAACGAATACGTAAATTGCAGCACAGGATACCACAGCTCTCTACATTCAAAATTGGCAAGAAAACGGGTAGTGGTGACAACAGAATAAGTAGTATATTAGTTTTACCGAGATGGGAACTGCGTACGTTGGCAAGAAAGGGTGGTCGGTACTATATCAGTGGATTTAACCACAATGCCAAAGCGAACAATGTTGTATGGCCTTATCCTTGTTCAAGACCTGTGTTTAAGACAACTTGGCAGTACAGAACAGCAAATATACCATCATTAAACTCAGCTGCAATGCAGTTAAGAATATTCTGGGTGTGTCTGCGTTGGGATGATATGCAAGAAAAAGGTCCAGGGGATGGTAGGAAGCAAATCACAACAGACATGGAAATTATCCAAACAGAAATTTTGAAAAGAAAGCATTCTGGACGATTCCTAGAGAAAACCGAATATCTGCGGAGAAAAGTGACAATACCTTTTGATGTTCCTAAACCTGTAAGAGGTAAGATAAGTATTCTTGTTCAGTTCATATCTATCTATGCTCTCTCCCCCTTCCTCTCCCCTCTCTCTCTCTCCCTCTCCCTCTCCCTCTCCCTTCCTCTCTCTCTCCTCTCCTCTCCCCTATCTCTCTCTCTCTCTCTCTCTCTCTCCCTTCCTCTCCTCTCTCTCTCTCTCCCTCCCTTCCTCTCCTCTCTCTCTCTCTCCCTCCCTCCCTTCCTCTCCTCTCTCTCTCCCTCCCTCCCTTCCTCTCCTCTCTCTCTCCCTCCCTCCCTCCCTTCCTCTCCTCTCGCTCTCTCTCTCTCTCTCTCTCTCTCTCTCTCTCTCTCTCTCTCTCTCTCTCTCTCTCTCTCTCTCTCTCCCTCCCTCCCTCCCTCCCTCCCTCCCTCCCTCCCTTCCTCTCCTCTCGCTCTCTCTCTCTCTCTCCCTCTCTCTCTCCCTCCTTCCCTTCCTCTCCTCTCCCTCTCCCTCTCCCTCCTTCCCTTCCTCTCCTCTCCCTCCCTCCCTCCCTCCCTCCCTCCCTCTCTCTCTCTTCCTCTCCCTCTCCCTCTCCTTTCCTCTCCCCTCTCTCTCTCTGTCCCTTCCTCTCCCCCTCTCTCCTCCCTCCCTTCCTCTCCTCTCTCTCTCCCTCCCTTCCTCTCCTCTCTCTCTCTCTCCCTCCTTCCTCTCTCTCTCTCTCTCTCTCCCTCCCTTCCTCTCCTCTCTCTCTCCTCTCCCTCCCTTCCTCTCCTCTCCTCTCTCTCTCTCCTCTCTCTCTCTCTCTCTCTCTCTCTCTCTCTCTCTCTCTCTCTCTCCTCTCTCTCTCTCTCTCTCCCTCTCTCTCTCTCTCTCTCTCCCTCCCTCCCTCTCCCTTCCTCTCCTCTCACTCTCTCTCTCTCCCTCTCCCTCTCCTTTCCTCTCTCCCTCTCTCTCTCTGTCCCTTCCTCTCCTCCCTCCTCTCCTCCCTCCCTTCCTCTCTCTCTCTCTCTCTCTCTCTCTCTCTCTCTCTCTCTCTCTCTCTCTCTCTCTCTCTCTCTCTCTCTCTCTCTCTCTCTCTCTCTCTCTCTCCCCCTCTTCCTCTCCTCTCTCTCACTCTCCTCTCCTCTCCTCTCTCACTCCCTTCCTCTCCTCTCTCTCACTCCCTTCTTCTCCTCTCTCTCACTCCCTTCTTCTCCTCTCTCTCACTCCCTTCCTCTCCTCCCTCTCACTCCCTTCCTCTCCTCTCTCTCACTCCATTCCTCTCCTCTCTCTCACTCTCTTCCTCTCCTCTCTCTCACTCTCTTCCTCTCCTCTCTCTCACTCCCTTCCTCTCCTCTCTCTCACTCCCTTCCTCTCCTCTCTCTCTCCCTCTTCCTCCCTTTCTCTCCTCTCACTCTCTCCCTCTCCCTCCCTTTCTCTCCTCTCACT